TATATTAGGGTTGTGTGTTACACCTAATGTTGTTAAATTAATGTTTATTGCATTTTCATGTGAGTGAGTGACGTGACATGTGGCCAAGTATGGTGACCCATACTCGGAATTAGTGCTCTGCATTTAACCCATCCTAAGTGCACACACACACACCGTGAACACACACACACCCGGAGCAGTGGGCAGCCATTTTTGCTGCGGCGCCCGGGGAGCAGTTGGGGGTTCGGTGCCTTGCTCAAGGGCACCTCAGTCGTGGTATTGAAGGTGGGAGAGAGCGCTGTACATTCACTCCCCCCACCTACAATCCCTGCCGGTATGAGACTCGAACTCACAACCTTTTGGGTTACGAGTCCGATTCTCTAACCATTAGGCCACGACTTCCCCGCGACTTCCCCTTATATATATAAGGTGGGATATCGCACTGTTAATACTTGATGAATAGGGCAATCCTTTTGTGTATTTTATGTGCTGATTCATGCATTTATCCAGATTAACTCAATACAGAACATAGACTATTTGTTTATCAAATAGTTAAAGATCATGTATGTTACATTTTTCTCTCCAGACTGGGACTAAAATGGTCGCAAATGTGACGACAAAAAGTGCCTCAACAATTTGAAATTGGCAACAGTCGAGAGCTTACGATTTGTCTCTGTTTATATGAGCACCCAGTTCTTTTTAATGACTCCGTAAAGATTCACTGCTGAAGAAGCTGTTTGAATCACACTCTCAGTCAGTGAATCATTTAGAGTTCAAATTACTTCCTAACTGAACCGCAACTCATTTCTTGGTTGTATCTGATTCTAAATGAACCGGGAACTGTTAATGTGATGTGTACTTTTGTATAAACTAAGTAAGCTTGGGAGAGTTTATTTAATGACTAGTTGTTCTTATGGAATCAGTGTATGTCTACATAGTGTATCAAATACTTGTAGTCCGGTTTTCCACTTTGTAAGTAAGAAACAATATATAATTCAAGTTAAAGTGCCGTTTAGGTTATAGCGACTGACTATATTGTAGCATTTCCAGCCTGAGTGGCTTCATCAACATAATATACATAAATGGGCCAGTGGGTCCCATTACACCCATTAATGTCCCCTTCCAATCGGAGACAGATTTATTAAACCGCAATCAGTTGAGTAACTATAAGACAGCTTCTGCATCCCACGACCATGTGCTCTGTAATCAATTCAAGAGGAAGGAGAGAAGATCTTTATCAAGAGTAAACCGTTCAGCAAAAAGCCATTAATGCAAGTTGGCCAGTATAGGAGATGCAATCATGCTCTGTTAATCGGTTAATATTTCATGGCATTTGTAGGGGAAATAGTCAAACATTCAGAGCAGTATTATCAGCATAATTAGCTGCCTAATTAAGCATATGTTCCCTCTTTTATGATAGGGTTTTGTTCTGTAATAGACACTGGGATTCAGCTTTTAGTTGATTTGCACGAAGCAATTAATTATTCTTTGAATAACTGCTATTTGGCTAAATAACTGCTGACAGCTTTGCTCAAACTCAAAATACTACATTTGTATGACTTGCGGCAAAATTGTCATGGACTGCCATGATCATATTTGACCAATATTATAAAAAAATACTGGAATAGTTAATTTATAAAAAAGAGAAACTATGATGGTGCAGAAAATATACATATTTAATTCATACTAGTTGATGTTTGATTTTTCAATGATTCTTTCTCAATGAGTCATTTACTCAAAGCATTAATTCATTCAGGAACGATACAAGTGAGTCATTGAATCACTCATTCAGCCAATTCGTAATATAATACTAATATATTCAGAAATGGTATTGTGTATTGCTGGGTGACACGCAATGATTCTGCAGTGGCTTTGTTTAACTGTTTTGGTACCTAATTAATTTTTAATTAGGACCAGGACTGGTACATCATCAAAATAAATCGCTGCGTGACACCCACTGTGTCATACTGAAACTCTATTCGGGCTACAGTGTAACCTAACTTTTAGCAAAAGCACTGAAGCCACACAACCTTGCCCCAAACCAAACTAACAGTGTGGTACAACTAAGTCCCTCATTATGGATCACTGAATTCACCTTAAAAACAATAACTTTCAACACTGTTACTTGTTATGTAAAGAAATTAACCACATGAGTCATGCCAAGTCAGGTTCAAGTTAATGCGAAGCAAGAGGATACTTTTCAAGAATTACTGTGTGTTCGCATTAGTGGAGTCGTTCATGAGTAAAAGACTGAGCACTTGTTCTGTTTCATGAGGAACCCTTCTGGAGTCTGTGACTCAATGGAGCGAGTCATGGACCACCTTTTACACAGCCCTTCTATCAGATGATCTAGTCTTTCTGAGAGTAGCTGTCAGGACGGATCAGTGTAAGAACTGTGTATGTGCCTGTGTGTTCTGATTTCTTTTTCTATGTGTGTGTGATGCAGTCCAGCGCAGGTCAGAGGGGCAGACAGACCTGGCCGAGCTCAGCATATCACATGATCGGTGTTCTTAAAACTGTCCGAAGAAGGTCTGGGCTAAATTTTCAGCTGAAGGTCAAATATTCAGTAACTTATGCGTTCCTGTTCCTAGTGATATAACATTCAGGAGATAAGCTTAAAGTCAGCATGAAATGGAAATGTATCTATTTTCTAAATGCATTCTGATGTTATTAAACAATGCATTCATGCATATGTTTTATATTTTTTGACCTTGTAATTTTTAATTAAAATGTTGTAACTCGATCTTCTGGTGAAATGACAGATTTCTCTCTGGTGATGCATGCCAGCCAATTATTTAGTATGCATAAACTCCGCCCCTTTCTTTAAATCTACTACAGGCTCGCATTCAGATCTGCCTTCATCCAATCAATAACTGATTAATAGAACCAAGTCCCCTTTTCAACAATATGTTTCTTGAATGTACATCATAACATGGGAGAAATTATCTGTCACTACTTCAGTTACATTGCCACTTTAAAAACTAGCTAAATGCTTTATGATAAATCTTTAAAGGAGTAGTTCACCAAAAAAGGAAAAAATCTATCATGTTAGTCATAAAATAACCTTGAAAGGGAACTTGTGCTCTCATACAACAAAATATAGCACACAAATTGTATAGACTACTTTGGAAATAGTAATATTTTTGGACCATTCTCATTTACTTTTATTGCATGGAAAAGTGTAGCATTAGAATTCTGCCTAATATTTCATTTTGTTTTACAAAAGAAAATCATATGGGTTTGGAAAGATGAAATAATGACAGAATTTTCATTTTTTACATTTTTCCCATGTTTTATCACTAAGGTGCAAAAGCAACTTGTAATAACTTCTTTAACAGCTTCTCATTACATTATATTATCAGTCATGCAGCCCTGTGGTTCTTTGAGAAATTAAGATGCTGAACTGAACCTATGGGAATAAATACAATATTTCAGGGTTTTCACCTGCATTTTGTCAATATGTTACCATAGGTCATCATATGCAAATAAAACCAGTGACAAAACCCCAAATTGGCTTTCACATGAGGAAGTGAAAGATACTCCCTTGCCTCTAGGTGTAAACTCACTCCTTGGAGTGTTTGCAAATGAGGAGAAAGCAGAGTCGACGAGAGCCCACAAGCTGAATTTCACACCTGAAGTGGCCTACATGGATAATTGGGTTGGAGAGGCCTAATTCACAATCATATAATGCAGGTCAAGGGAATTGCTTTTCCACTGGAGCATTCTAGCATACCTACAAATCAAACTGCTTTTGTTCCTATGTGTCCATGATGTTTTTGCTGTGATAAAAAATAATTTAAAATTCTCTTAAGGGGAAAAGATTGTTTCTATTATAGTTCTTCTCCTTTCCTTTCTTGCTTTTTGACTCTTGAACTCAACCAATGATGTGAATTTGTAAGCTGATTGGCAGAAAGAGTGGTTGAAATGTTTTATAATTCTGTTTGGAAAACAACCATCATTTTGCGACTCCATTTGTTGCCACTAGTGAACTTCCAATACACTTTTTTAAAAGTGATTTTTAAATGAAGTGCCGGTGAGATGGAACAATATGTGAGTAATTTAATTTAACCTTACCTTGCCCTCATGGTCTTCAAATACTGACTGGTCCACGTTGCAGGCAAAGAGGGATGTGGGGAGATCATTGAAGTCGGTGATTTGTTGGAAACTGTCTCCCAGTGAGGACTCTCCCATGGTGGACTGCAGGACTACCAGCTCTTCCCCTCCCAAGAGGTAAACCCGCTGGAGGAATGGAGCGCTTCTCATGTTGGCAAATAAATGCTCTCCCTTCATGGCTGTAAGTGGTACACAACATCAAAAGTGGAGATGTTTTCTAATATCAGCAATTGCTTTCAGGCTACATTCTACACTTTTGCAGTTCAAAAATCATAATCGTTTGTCGAGCTCTAAATATGCCCAAAAAAAAGTACTGTTGAGTGTAAAAATGTATTTCCATATGATTTTCTGTACTATATTTTAAGTTTTATGAAGCCACAAGACATCTTCAGGCCAGTATACTATAAGCCATTACTGACTGATAATCATACATACAATTTTCATTTTTAGATGAACAATTCCTTTAACAGCATTTAAAGAGATAGTTCACCGAAACCCATAAGACTTTTAAATTTAAGTTATTTAAGTTATAAGTTATTTGTAATGAACCCTAAGAGTTTTCTTTTGCTCCATTGAAAACCAGGTAACCAAAACTTAGATGATCCGAAAAGGCTATAAAGACATCATAAAACTCATCCATATGAATCAAGTGCTTTAGTTCAAGTCTTGTGAAGAGATACAATCGCTTTATATGATGAAATGATTTAAAGGGATAGTTCACCCAAAAATGAAAATTCTGTTATTAATTACTCACCCTCATGTCGTTTCAAACCCATAAGACCTTCATCTTCGGAACACAATTTAAGATATTTTTGATGAAATCCGAGAGATTTTTGAACCTGCATAGACCGCAAAGGAACTACCATGTTCAAGGCCCAGAAAGGTAGTAAGGACATTGTTAAAATAGTCCATGTGACATTAGTGGTTCAACTGTAATTTTATGAAGCTACGAGAATTCTTTTTGTATTTTTGTACTTTTACTTTTCTTTACTTCGCAAAGAAAACAAAAATAACGACTTCATTCAATAATTTCTTCTCTTCCGTGTCAGTCTTTGACACACGTTCACGAGAGTACCACAACGCATGAGAGTGCATTCCTCTGCTTGCAAACAAGGTGCAGTGCATCCGGGTTCTACGTCAGAATGCCGGCTTGTTGAATTGTTCAATAAAGTCGTTATTTTTGTTTACTAGTTTGGAACTTCATGAGGGTGAGTAATTAATGACAGAATTTTCATTTTTGGGTGAACTATCCCTTCAAATTTGGCTTTTTATGTCATACACCCAGACAGCATGGGAACCAGGAACGTTGAAAATAATTCCAATTCACTAAAAGAATTATGAATATCATTCACCAGATCTTCTTTGTCGTTATACAAACCGATAGATGAAAACAGTAACAGTAAACACAAACAAATACAGTCAATATATAATATATAATAGTATGTAAGTATACTCTTACGTGTATATATATATATGTGTATATGTGTATACGTATGTATACAGTATATGTATATGTGTGTATATGTGTGTGTGTGTGTGTGTATGCACACACATGTTGTATCACAAACAAGACGTTTATGACCTTATGAGAGGTCAGAGCAAGAGCTGTTTGGAGCATTTTCACTGTACACAACAAAAGCTCGTCCTCACGACAGGTGACACAGAACTGGAACAGTTACCTCCCAGAACCCTACCGAGCAGATGTTACCCCTGGCCCCGGTAACTAATGCGCCGCCAAAAGATTAGGTTATGGGCTTATAGCAGAGCCGGTCTCTTGTCAGCCCACACAAACAACAACGCCAAGTGGGGAACAGCTTGCACCCATTTCCACAGAGCTTTTCCACATGCCCTTTCTACCAGTGATCCACCCTGACAAGCTTGGTCTGCGGGCAAAGCCAGCACTGTCGCCGGTGTCACACGCACTGTTAAATCTCCCGCAGCTATTTTGGGATCAATAGCCCATCACCAGCCACACATACATGCTCTCCAACACACACGCATGCTCTCACTTTCACTCAAGGCTATAGATAGAGGCTGGAGCTGTCTGTTTCAGTCTTGCCCTGTGTAAACGCAGCTAAAAATAGAATGAGGACTAATGAAATGCAGAGATTGTGAGGCACTTGATTAAAATGAAGACTTCCAGACAGGGATCCATTTCATTTACAATATCAGAATGACCCTGTTATGAGATAATGATGTGCATAAACTATACATGAGCATAAGTGCTATAAGTGCTCAGCTTTATTTACAGAGATTTACAGTGTTTTTAATTTTGGAATTGGTCCGCGCCAAAAAGCATAGGCCTACTGTTTATCTAAAGCTATAGAGGCCATTGACATGTTTGCTTGCTGGCATGAACAAGGTCACTAAATAAGGGAAATATATGGATCCTAATTCACTAAAAGAATAATCAATATCATTCACCACATTGTCTTTGTAGCTATACAAACTAAAGGGTGAGAGCAGTAACATTAAACAAACAAATTCAGTTAATAAGCATTCATAAATATTGTTAATAAAATAATTAACTATTATTATAAAATAGGGAAAACTACTGAAAAATATCCTCATGCTCTGTTGATATTGACTTTACTCTGACCCTAATGTTATTTTAAAGGGGTCATATGATGCGATTTCAAGTTTTTCTTTCTCTTTGGAGTGTTACAAGCTGATTGTGGTATATAGATACACACACACACACACAAACACATATATACACAAAACACTTAAATTATAATATAATTACTATGCTATTTTATTCCTGTCAAATAATATATTTTCCATCAAATTCTTTTTTTAGACTAATTAAAACCCATTTGAAAGGTATTCTTTGGCAAATTTGGCATGTTGTTCTTAGAAATTTGACTGTTGCTTCTGTATGGGGTCAACCCAAAAATTACATTCTAAAAAATGCAATGAACAAATATAAACACACAACTGGGTGCTAGTGTGCACACTAAACAGAACATGTTTTATTAAATTATTTGTATTAAAATGTCCCTGGGGACTAATAGATACCAATAGGACTAATAGGTACCAAATAGATCATGAGGGTTAAAAACCACTCAAGTTATTAGATTTATTGCTTTTAAAAATTATTTATAATGGAAATGCTCTTACAATTTAAATTACAGTGTAGGCTACATGACCTTATTTGTTACAAGCAAGAGATTTTAAATGCCACTGGGTACAAATAAGGGCTATTTAAAGCTAAATTATTCTGTATTACATAATATATAATTGTATTTTACTCTTTCAGTGCATAAAGGGCAAAATGAAAGGGGTAAGTGTCAATCACAGTCTACTGCAACCTGTTTGCTGCATCCCTCTTTGAGTCATCACTGGAGGAGTGGTCCCTCTGTCGTCATCACCTGACATTCACTTTCCCTCTCTTTGCTATAAGGGTTTAAATTAGTCATTTCTCTCCGTCTGATGACTAAAATATGATAAACCCTTATGGCAAACATGCCACATCAACCTGTTTGAGCAACTGTCAATAACATTACACTACTGGCAGCGGCTGTCAAGGTCAAGGAGTGCACTTCAGAAACTAGGCTACTATTACAAATTCAATAGCATCATCAAATGGATTGCTTACGCTTTTTAGTCTTGTGCGGATGATTATTATAGCACAATCTGTCAACCAATACAGACTTTCCAACTTCGTCATCCCCTTAAACTCTTGAGTAAAAGTCATTTGTTTAAAAGTGACATGCAAGATCTAAGCAATGCAGAATACGTGAAATACTAATATATACTATATAACCAACTATATATAGAATAGTATGTAGTATAGAATATGAAATCATTTCTGCATTTATTTGACTCTCTCTCGTTCTCGCTTTCCTTCTCTCTCTGCATTAATAAAGCAGCAACACCTGTCAAAGCCCTACTGTACAGATGCAGGATGATCTAATGGAGTAAGTCGACGCGGTTATTCGGTACCTGTGCGGGATGTGGCAGTCCGGTGTGCGTATCTTCTGCGCGGTGGCTTTGTCTCCCTCTCTTGCCTTTGTGAATCAAGCTCGCATTCCAGCTGCGATTCACTAATCTCCTGACGTTACTGCAGACAGCTTGATTCACCAATGACCGCCTCCCGGCATTCAAATGATGTTTGCTCAACCCACTAATGAAATGCAGCGCGACGAGCGCGGGGGGGATTCATGGACCAATAGCGCTCTCCTAAAAGCGAATATGCAAATCGGCGAAGTTACGTCAGCGCTTTCGCCAGCAGGTAGATGTTGCGGTGCTGTGACACGTTCAGCGGGTTGTTTTTAGTAAATGTGGTGCAGGGCAAAGCAGAGATTTCTCGAAATGATGTCTGTCAGACTCCAAAGCACTTGCAGCACGAGTTGAATAGTGCGGTGAGTTGATTTAAAGCATATAAATGCGATAAAACACCTTGGGTGAAGAAGTGTTTATGGGTATATGTTAAAAGCATATAATAAAAGGAAACCATGCTGAAAGAAACTAGTTTGCTGGTCTCCCAGTAAGGTCAAACTGGTCTGTTTTCTGGATTGATGTACTTTTCAGCTGAAGACTATCTTGGTCAGTCTAGGAAACCAGCTTTTAAGACCTGCAAACTTTTTTTTTTTCCAACAGAGGCTCCTTTTATAACTATTAGCAGTCAGAACTTTACATAATGTAATGCCTAAAATCTAGGAGAAAGCTCAATTATGTTACTGCATTATGCAACAAAATGTGTGTGTATGTGTGTGTATATATATATATATATCGATTAATCGAACTCGTCATAAAATCGCGATTTGAGCGTGCACAATTTCTAAATCGCTTTATAGCACGATTTTCCGCGCCCCCGACCTCCTCACCTTGCTTAAATGACCAGAGCAAGAAATAGAAAATTATATACTTTTACTCTAATGGCAACGTATAGGTCCTTTTCTATGCAATTAAAGTGAAATAACTGAACATTTGAGATGCAGAAATGTTTGTGTGTGTGCCTGTGTATTATTATTTGTGTCAACGAATGTTAAATGACATATTATATGAAGGAACAGAAATGTCAAATTAAATGGCCTCGCACTAATGTTTTATTTTGTTACGTCACTCCTCTTTTGAGTCTAGTATCCAAGTAAAGTAGTTTAACATTGGCCTTCTGCTAAACATCTCTGGAATGTTGTGCTTGAGGAGTCTTTGATTTTGCAAAGTAGGCCATGTTCCTGGATCCAACATCCTTGATGGTCCTGGAAAAACATTCCTATCCAATCCGATTTTAAGGTTAGGCTATGTTTGTTTGACAGGAATTTTGTTCTAAGACCAACAAAAGATGATGTCTGCTGGGCAAAATCACAGCATGGTTGTTCAAGTAAATTGAAATATAAAGAAGGAAACTTCTGCAGCAAAACATGTTCTTTATTCCAACACAATTAAACTTGTTATTTAGTGAAACGCACTGCAAAGTAGCACAAAGGATTTTCATCTTCCAAATGTATACAATACCAGTGATTGATTCAATCGAGTATATATTTAATGCATGTAAACAATCTATTTGACTTACGAATTAAAGATGCTTGCATCCGAGCACATAAAATTACTCCAACTTATGTCATGTAATATTATGTAATATTATCCAGAAATGCGTGTACACAGATGCAGTAAAGAACTTACAGACTACAAGACAGATGTGTTTATAGAAACAATCCTTTTCACCACTACAGAAAAAGAAGCATGGTGTTTATACACATAATAATGTGTTTACATATTTCTGCTTCACAAAAGAGAACCTCCACTTAGTTATATTGTCTATAAACTTGTCTTTACTCCATCTATTTCGTGCACAAGATGTTTAACTGTATTATATGACTGCAGTCACATACAGCAATACATTTTGTTTATTTCATACATCCTGAAAATGATAAAGTCTCTCAGTCTGGGAAAGGAATTTCCACAACCTCATGCTTTCTGATATATATCATCTCTATTATGCCATCAGTTATACAAGAGGTTGACCCAACAAAACTGTAATATATATTAAAGCTAATATCCTAAATTACCTTTAGCATTATGTGATTTTCTGGTTTCTTTTAGAGGGATATAGTATTTGCCTGTGTCCAAGTCACTGTTTAACATTCACCATGATGCTTCAAACCTTTGAAGCCCAGGATATGCGGTTGATCTCTGCAACTCTTGTGTCAAGACTGTCAACAAATCTCTAAAGCAGTAGCACAGGCCTCTGAACATGAGCGCTCTATCTATGCTTGTATCTCACTGTACAGGTTCCGTCTGGCTGCTGGGTTCCCACCAAATGCAGAGGGCTCTGCAAGAACCAGATGCATATATTTATCAAGTGCAGTGACCACATAAATAAAATATACAATGCTACTACTAAGTATATTCTATCTAAGTAATCAGATTGCATTTGTAAACAAATGATTTAACTTTTCGAACTATTTTTGGTTTTATCCAAATATCTATATATCTAATGCAATACTGTTCAAAATTTGGGGTTGGTAAGATATTTTAAATGTTTTTGAAAGAGGTTTCTTGCATTTATTTGATAAAAAATTCACTAAAACAGTAACAGTAAACAGAAATAATATTGCAAATTAAAATAAAAGGTGTTTATTTTAATATATTTCAAAATGTAATTTATTCCTGTGGCAAAGCTGAATTTTCAGCAGCCATTACTCCAGTCTTCATTCAGAAATGAATCTAATATGCTGATTTGCTGCTCAAGAAACATTTCTTATTATTACCAATGCTGAAATGATTTTTTCAAGACGGTTTGATGCATATAAAGTTCAAAAGAACAGCATTTATATGAAATAGATTTTTTTGTAACATTATAAATTGAATGATCAGTTGAATGCATCCTTGCTGAATAAAAGTATTAACAATTTATTTATTTTTTACTGACCCCAAACTTTTAAACAGTAGTGTATGTATTTATTTATTTATTTGGGTTGGTTTTGTTCTGTCTAGGTTTCGATAATAAAAATTACAAAAAATAAAAATCTAAAATTATTTATCAATTTATTATGTATTTATCAAGTTGCTGTAAAACAGATCTTGTTCCCCTCCAAAAGTATACATTAATGACCCATAAAATAGATGAATGCACTATTCATATCTAGATCCACGTTCCTCGTATGAACTTAGTCGTTGGTGGCCGAAACTTACAAAGCTATTTTTGGTCAGGCCTGAGAATTGCAAGGGTAAAGAGCAGGATGCTGCTTAAGCATTAGATTGGGCTGTTGTTGGGTAAATACTGCCGTAGGAACACATCTGGAAATGATTAACCTGATGCCTACTTTGAAGCCATCTCTTTCAAGGCTTATTTACCATTCTCCATTGGTCGTTACTCTTTCTCGGGCCTCTTACCGGTTTGGGTACAGGATCCAGCGGGGTGAATTCAAACTTGTAGAGGATGAGTGCCACAAACATATGCAATTCCATAACAGCGTACCACCTGTTGACACAAGAAACAACAAGTGCTTCTTATTGTCACTTTCTTTTTAATGTGCTTTTTCTCAATAAGAAAGAAAAACTCATCGTACTGAAGTGCTCATCACTTCACAAGCCGGTTTGAATAGTACTGTGTGTATTTGTATTCTGATGGAATATTGCATGCTGTCTAGCTGCCATTGCACCCTCCCTTGAGTGCTGCTGAACACTGGGAAAACTGTGATTGAAATTGCAGGTAGAAAAGCAAAATGTGAATGAATGTCTTGTTTTGCGTTCAAATTCTAGGTGCATTCATAGCCACAGTGGCCTTGTTTGAAGGCGGACTGGGGAGGAGGAATATCAGGTGAATCGAAGTGCATGAATTAAAGCATGGAGAACAAGATGGTTCCTGGGTGAGACATAGAAAGGAATAATGGGAGGCAATAAAGGGAGGGCGAGAGATGCAAGTCATGTTTCTTGAAATAATCAGCCCAAATAACCTTGAGGGCCATGACTCATTCAGGGGCACTGTGTTCGTGACGCAAGTAGCCAATCTCCTAAAATGATCAAAATCAAATCAGATTGAGAGAGGGAAAATGAAATATGTGGGTTTGCCACACTCAAGTGTACTAATTTATGGCAGCGTCCAGCTAAGAGATCTGTACAAGCCTGAGTAATCATTACAAAGCCGCCTCATGACAATGTGACATTTGAATGCAGGAAGTTGGTATGGATTAAATATTTCAATGGCATATGAAATTATTCTAGAGAGAATGTGACAGTCCACACTCACATATGTTTTTATAGTGGAGAATGAATTTTATATAGATTTTTATATTTATTCATATAATTAATTTTTGTTGTAATGAATTTATTATATTTATCATATATCATTTATAATGTTTTTTATTATAAAAAATATTATTAACCCTCTGGTGCTGCTCACATGGTGGTCAAAAAGGATGGATTTATTTTCCAATGAAATTTGTGTACTATGAATGTACTATGTTTTAGTTTGATAATTTCATATTTTAGAGTTTTAGGGGATTTTATGGTACTAAATTATATTTATGGAATAGTTGTGATCCTTTTTTCCCCTTTTAACCACTTTTTTGAGCAATGACTCAAAAAACTTGAAAAAAAAAGATAGAAAATTGAGTTCATTATTATGAAAAATGCACAAAGATGTAATAGAAAATATATTTTCCATAACATGTTTTACTCTGTTTTGCTAAATTTGTGTGATGTAAAAATCAAAGCCATAAATCTAAACAAATTGTGTTCCAAATTTGAGGTTGATATCTCAAAAAATTAGCTTTCAGTTAGATTTTGTTTGAGTGCAGTACCAAACAAGATTGATTTCCCATTCTTTTCCAATGACAGTAAAGTGTGACTTTTTTTTAAGGACCATTTAACCTTTTTGAATCATGTCCATGATTTTGTGTGTGTGTGTGTTCACATAATAAGCGCCAAAACCTTTACCAAGTTCCATATCCTTGCAATGAAGTAAAACATGAAAAAATAATAATAATAATAATTGTTTGGTCAAAAAAGACCAAACAGCAACAGAGATTTAAAAAAAAAACCTTTATCTCCCCTTTTCTCTATATTACTCCACCTCTCTCTTACTTCTGTTTCTCCCTCTCATATATTCCCAGACTGATAAACGTAGATGCATCTGTTCTGGTGGGTTTCGAAGGGTCACTGGTCTGTGCCTATGCTTTTGATCTTCATGTGCAGCTGGGAAAGTTCTCCCAGTCTTTATACGGCTCTATTAACGTCATACTGACCCTGGCCGCGCACTCCCCAGGGCCTTCATGATGTCATCAGTAGGGGCCCAAAGGGCTGGGACATAAGGGCCAAGAATACTCAGTACAACATAAAAGCAGTGCCATGAATCTATATCAACATGGCAGTATACCAGGAATGGAGCCATCAATAATGCAGCTCAATGATTTACAAGTATCGCTTGTAATTCAAATCACACCCTGATAAAGTTCTTGGTGGTAACAGCAATGAACTTTTTTGTGCCAGTCTTGGTGTAAATAACCTAAGGGAACTGACATTCTCAGCAAGAGAGCCAAAGGGGAAAGATGGGCTGGTGCAGCTTGTGGCATTTGCTATAGGCCAATTTGAACCCATAACGTTCCTGCTACAGGCCAAAGACCAAACCACCAAACCTTGCTAGAGGGCAAAACAGCCCCCGACTCACCAAAGGCGCTTCCAACTTTCATAAACTTTGTTTTTATTATGTTTTAAATGAAAAAGTATGTTATTTTTTATAATGCTCAAAATGGAGGATGTAGTCCTGCTTACAGTTAAAAGAGCCTTTATCATATCACCTGTTTTTTACTCTAGAACACAAGAGCATCAGCTGAACCGCTCTTAAAAAAGCCTTTTTTTGTTGTTGCATGATTTAAACTAGAGAAGTTTTGATAAGTATAATACCATTACTGTCTGATTTTATTGCTGAATAAAATTTTATTGCTTACTTAAACATAATTTTGACTGACATTTTTATATATTTAGGTCTTTCCCTACTGGAAAAGGAACTAAAATGCAACCGGGTCAGATGTGCATGGTTTGAAATCCCAAACATCTCTGAACTGACTTCATGAATGATGCAACAAGTTCAATTGTGTTATTTGTGCAAAGTTCAGTGAAGCTGTTGAAAAGAAACAAAATGCACTAAGAAAAAATATAAAAATAAATAAATAATGCAAAGCAAATTTTATGAATTAAAATAACTAAACTAATCATTTTACATTTTACTATCAATTAATGTGTTGCAACATGTTGCATTCTACAATATTAATAGCAAATGTCTGAAAAGAAAAACTCAAAATTAAATATAAATATATACATTTATTACTTTGAGACAAAATTATCTAGTAGACATGAAAAAATTAATTATTTATATATTCAGTTATAGTAATTATATTCAGTTGCATGGAATACTTTCCTCGATTTAATTAAGTTCATTGAATGTTATTAATTGTGAGTGTACATGATGATTATTTTGTATAAACACAAGAGTTTTTCTTACCTTCCTGGGCACTGATTTTTCCCCCCTCCAAATGCCACAAACCCTTCCAAGTGGACATTCTTTTCTAAATCTGCCTTTTCCCATCGTTCCTGTGGGAAGAAAAGTTTCATTAAAAATAATCCACCCAGACAAGCGCCAGTCCAGAATACACCATTTGAGCCTGTCTTCCAGCACTCCAAGATTTAGTTTAATAACAAGACATATTTACATAATCTCTGAATAACTCTCAATGCAGTGTCCATCTGTTCACTAATGCAGCTTTATTGTGGGCATAAATGAATAATTGCTCTTAAGTTGCATCAACAAACTTAGAAGTCTTTCAAACTGGTCAAAAAGTCCTGCCTTTCGAGATTTTCATAGATTCAAAACAATAGTTTTCCAATGCAAAAGACCACTGAATGTCCATTTAGTCATCAACCATATATATTCATTGTGTAAAATATTTTGATTCCATTAAGGAAAAAGAAGAAAATGACCCATGAATGCACTCATTTAAATGCATTTCCACTGTATAGAAGAGAGTTGATTTGAAGCTAAACATATCTTTTGCTAAAAACAGCATTTAAAACATATAGATGTAGGTCTGACCCAGTCTCTGTGAGCTATGCTATTTCCTTTAAGACATTAGTAGACAGAAGTGTAATGGAATCTCTATAGGTGTTTGCCTGAAGGTTAATTGTAAAGATAACTGTCAGGCTTTCCTTGAACACATACAGACCTATTATTCCTGTTTTAATGGAGCACAGCTGGAGTTTTCAAGCACATTGTGACCAGCACTCACAATGGAATTCACAGACAAAATAGAAGGAGGAAGTTTTATTGAAAGAAAATACCAATAAAAGAGATGCCGGTTCCATCATAGAGCAAAACAAACTACATAAAAAATAAAAAAAAAGTACAGGAACATTTAATAGTAAAGCACTTTGCCTGCTATATAAAAAAAAAACATTTTATGAGCATGTGTCTTGTGCCTATTTTATTTTGGTTTATAGAGGAATTTGTGTGAACCTCATCCTGTGGCTGAGCTCATTCAGAAGAGTGAAGTTACTCACAGGTTTGAAATCTTCCGGGTCTGGGAAATATTTGGGGTTTCGGTGAGCCCAGTAGGGAGACAACATCAGCAGGTCTCCAGGTGGGATAACATAATTCTGAAAAGCAGTAAACATGCATACAGTTTTTTTTAGCTGAGAGAAAGAAAAAAAAAAGCCTGGTAATGTTTGCTTTGTAGCCTGTGTGAGTCAAAAGGGCAGATCTCAATATACTGATATATAATTATTAATATATAGCTCTATATAAACAGACTGCACTTATAGACCTATGCATAAAAACACTGAAATAAAATGCATTGTAAGATGAATAATCTGTCATGGCTGACCTGTAATTTGAGAGGCCGCACTACTTTACGAGTGATGGCTCCAGGGGCCCTCAGCCGAATGGCTTCCATGATACACCACTTCACATATGGCATGTGCTGTAAGTCATCTAGGGTCACCTTTGTCTTCTCCTTGTCTTGAATGCAAAGCAAACACGCTTCTTGAACACTAAATCAGTATATTAGAATGATTTCTGAAGGATCATGATGAGACAATGATGACTGGAGTATTGATGCTGAAAATTCAGCTTTGTCATCACAGGAATAAATTACATTTTAAAATATATTAAATATATTTCACAATATTACTGCTTTTACTGTATTTCAAAAACATAAAATCTTACAGACCATACATTTTTAAATGATAGTACATAATGTTAGTTAATTGTGTAGTTTATACTGAAAGCAATAAATGAAACCAGTCTGGGTGGGGCTGTACAATTTAAAAACCATTGGTTTTAAGATATCGGTTTTACCTTGGTCTCTGAGGGCAGCGTTGATCTGATCCATTGCAATCTTATACGCTTCAGGATTGGCCAAAATAAAAGCAATAGCCCAAAATGTAATCTAGAATAAAGTGAAAACATTTTGTCCCCGTTACGTTGAATGTCAAGTCTGAGCTAACACATAGAAAGATATTGTGTAATAGCACTGAACTTCTCACTTACTGGTATAGCATTTGCCAGGGAAGCCCAAAGCAAAAGTAAACCATAATTGGGAAGATATTTGTCACTTATTGCAGTAGCCAGGTGCTGTAGTAAAGTCTAAAGAGAAACAGTGACAGATCAGAAACTATTTGGAGTTTTATTATACAATGGCCAAATACTGCAGATAGATTCTAATATTATGCTGATTCCAAAATCAAAAAATTATTTATGATGATGAGAAGAACAAAACTGTAAAACTTCAAATGCCATATACAGTAGTCCTGCAAAAAAGGCTTAGAAGCCCGATGGAAACTCTTTAGCTCCCTCTGTTGGTGCAAACATGTTTGCGTACACATTCACCGAGATGGTCCTCACTACAGAACACAAGATCCAGGGAGCGAGGTTGGATCCAGATCCAACTCCTCCCACCTTACATAACCCTAAATCTACCCGTCTCCACCCCCTGATCCTTAAACCTACCCATCTCCACCCCCTGGATGGATCTTGTGTACTGCAGTGAGGGGCTACTACATCAACAGACCCATAAGGAAGATTAAGTTTGGCCTTAAACTCTTATTCCATGTGTTTCAAGATCAACATCAGTAACAACAGTAATCCACATGGCTCCAGTCCATCAATTAACATCTTTTTTTTTTAACATTATGTTTATTGGGTTTTTCAAGTTAAACACAACATACAAGATACAGAATCTAAATATATAATTATCAATTAACATCGTGTTAAGTGAAAAGCCGCCTGTCTGTAAAAAAACAAATATAATATTGACTTGCCTGAATCAGGAGAGAAATATGCACAGATCAAGCACAGTTTACAAGTGAAAACAGTCCAAAAAAGTCCTAAACAAATATGTTCATAGATTTTGATATGAGAGGACAACAAATTGACTTTTTTGCTGGAGGAAGCATTATTATAGATTATGGACTTGTATTTAGGCCAGAAGCTATGGATTAAAAATAAAATGCATTAATGACGAATTCATTTCTTACAAAAACACAGATTTTCACTTCGCAAAACGGACTGGAGTCATGTGGATTACTTGTGAATTATTGTTATGTTTCTATCAGCTGTTTGGACTCTCATTCTGACGGCACCCATTCACTGTAGAGAATCCATTGGTGAGCAAGTGTTGTAAACTGAATTTCTCAAAATCTGTTCAGATGAAGAAACATCTGATGGCCTGAGGGTAAGTCAATTTGCAAGTAAATTTTCAGCAAATGTTCATTTTTGGGTGAACTATTCCTTTAAGTAAAAATGTAAAAGGTAATTCAGCACTTTTTGACAAGTCAGCTCTGTTTAGAGAGTGAAACAGTTGGTAGATAAGAAATCCACAGTAATGCATTACTAAGTCATTAATTGCTGTACTTTAAGTACTTCCCCTTGAAAAAGTAAAGTAAGGGATTACTCTTAATTTTTCTGTAATGTCATTACAGTTACTTCTGATGTAACTGCATTGCATGTTTTAATGTAACTTTCTCCCTTTAAATACTTTAGTTAGTTCAAGAATAATTTATGCAATTTTATATTATTTAATTGGAAAGTATTAAAAGATCTTGTCTATCCTTGTATTACTGGTCAAAGTTGACAATGGATTTAGAAAGTAATTAGCAACAAGTAATGCAGTCCTTTTTAGAGAGAGTAATTAGTACAGTAATCTAATTAAACTATTACCAATATTACCTTTCCATCATTCTCATTGTAGAGGGTCTCCTGTGATCTGATAGCCATATTTCTCAGCAGAGAAAGGAGCCATTGCTTTGAGTTTGCCCATTGCCTGAAGACACAAATGATGCATCCTTTAACTCTTTGGCTACAGATGTTCTGAATGTATTTAAACAGAAATGTATGCTGATATGCAAGGCCTTTATTCGATTATTTTTCAAATGACGTATAAACATGATTCAGGAGACTAATTGTGTTTTATAATTGCAGCTTTCAGTAATATTGTGGCAGTAGCGCTCACACACTTCAAGAACATGTCTGGGAGTTGGGAGCCATATTCAAATCCTTCATCATACGTTGTGAACTTCTCCAGGAACTCCTGCCTCGTGAGGGCATTATTAGGGGAGTTACATCGGCCCAGTAAGTTGCTCATTACTGCTGGATACATAACACTCCTGAAAACAAGAAACAAAGTGTATAATACAGTTTTCAATAAATAAATAAATTAAATTATCTTGAAATATTACAATATACAATACAATATTAATGTATAGTGTATTACACTGCACTGCATTACATTTGCTTAATGAAATCCAATACTTGTTTCTTACTAATTGTGGGGTGCTGATTTCAAAAATAGTGCCTGTTTTCCTCAAGCATGACACTAGGGGTGTGCGATATTGACAAAAAATAACATCTCGATATTTTCTGGGATTTTATCGATAACGATTATTAGATGATATTTTGCTGAGTGTGTTATTGTGCTGGTACCTTAAGGACTGCCGTGGACAGCCGGCTCCTAAAGTTTTTGATATTCTTCATATTCTGTGTGGTCAGTTCACACTGATAGAAATGAATCTTTTCCAACAAGTTTAAACTGATTTGTACATTTTATGGGTATTTTTACCGTCATAAAGCCATTTTTTCTAAAAGAGTTCATTACCTTTTGAGTCATATTCTTACATTTAATCAGTGAATTAGAATAATAAAACATTTGGGCTTTTACCAAGCAAATGAAATCAGTGTCAACAAAATTCAACTTTGCAATGCAGAGGAAAGTCAGAAGCTGCATCTGAAGTTGCATTTAGATATGTTTACACACTGTTTAATGCAGGACATAAATGCATTTAAACTGCAATTACAAATGCATTTTTTTTTGTTGATATATTAAACATAAAACGTTGAATACTGATATTTGAAATTAAGATACACTCTAAAAAATGCTGGGTTGTTTCAACCCAACTTTGGGTCAAATATGGACTAACCCAACTTTTGGGTTAAAAATTTAATGTAAAAATTTAACCCAACTGTTGGGTTAGTCCATATTTGACCCAAAGTTGGGTTGAAACAACCCAGCATTTTTTAGAAATCAGGAGAGAAATATGCACAGATCAAGCACAGTTTACAAGTGAAAACAGTCCAAAAAAGTCCTAAACAAATATGTTCATAGATTTTGATATGAGAGGACAACAAATTGACTTTTTTGCTGGAGGAAGCATTATTATAGATTATGGACTTGTATTTAGGCCAGAAGCTATGGATTAAAAATAAAATGCATTAATGACGAATTCATTTCTTACAAAAACACAGATTTTCACTTCGCAAAACGGACTGGAGTCATGTGGATTACTTGTGAATTATTGTTATGTTTCTATCAGCTGTTTGGACTCTCATTCTGACGGCACCCATTCACTGTAGAGAATCCATTGGTGAGCAAGTGTTGTAAACTGAATTTCTCAAAATCTGTTCAGATGAAGAAACATCTGATGGCCTGAGGGTAAGTCAATTTGCAAGTAAATTTTCAGCAAATGTTCATTTTTGGGTGAACTATTCCTTTAAGTAAAAATGTAAAAGGTAATTCAGCACTTTTTGACAAGTCAGCTCTGTTTAGAGAGTGAAACAGTTGGTAGATAAGAAATCCACAGTAATGCATTACTAAGTCATTAATTGCTGTACTTTAAGTACTTCCCCTTGAAAAAGTAAAGTAAGGGATTACTCTTAATTTTTCTGTAATGTCATTACAGTTACTTCTGATGTAACTGCATTGCATGTTTTAATGTAACTTTCTCCCTTTAAATACTTTAGTTAGTTCAAGAATAATTTATGCAATTTTATATTATTTAATTGGAAAGTATTAAAAGATCTTGTCTATCCTTGTATTACTGGTCAAAGTTGACAATGGATTTAGAAAGTAATTAGCAACAAGTAATGCAGTCCTTTTTAGAGAGAGTAATTAGTACAGTAATCTAATTAAACTATTACCAATATTACCTTTCCATCATTCTCATTGTAGAGGGTCTCCTGTGATCTGATAGCCATATTTCTCAGCAGAGAAAGGAGCCATTGCTTTGAGTTTGCCCATTGCCTGAAGACACAAATGATGCATCCTTTAACTCTTTGGCTACAGATGTTCTGAATGTATTTAAACAGAAATGTATGCTGATATGCAAGGCCTTTATTCGATTATTTTTCAAATGACGTATAAACATGATTCAGGAGACTAATTGTGTTTTATAATTGCAGCTTTCAGTAATATTGTGGCAGTAGCGCTCACACACTTCAAGAACATGTCTGGGAGTTGGGAGCCATATTCAAATCCTTCATCATACGTTGTGAACTTCTCCAGGAACTCCTGCCTCGTGAGGGCATTATTAGGGGAGTTACATCGGCCCAGTAAGTTGCTCATTACTGCTGGATACATAACACTCCTGAAAACAAGAAACAAAGTGTATAATACAGTTTTCAATAAATAAATAAATTAAATTATCTTGAAATATTACAATATACAATACAATATTAATGTATAGTGTATTACACTGCACTGCATTACATTTGCTTAATGAAATCCAATACTTGTTTCTTACTAATTGTGGGGTGCTGATTTCAAAAATAGTGCCTGTTTTCCTCAAGCATGACACTAGGGGTGTGCGATATTGACAAAAAATAACATCTCGATATTTTCTGGGATTTTATCGATAACGATTATTAGATGATATTTTGCTGAGTGTGTTATTGTGCTGGTACCTTAAGGACTGCCGTGGACAGCCGGCTCCTAAAGTTTTTGATATTCTTCATATTCTGTGTGGTCAGTTCACACTGATAGAAATGAATCTTTTCCAACAAGTTTAAACTGATTTGTACATTTTATGGGTATTTTTACCGTCATAAAGCCATTTTTTCTAAAAGAGTTCATTACCTTTTGAGTCATATTCTTACATTTAATCAGTGAATTAGAATAATAAAACATTTGGGCTTTTACCAAGCAAATGAAATCAGTGTCAACAAAATTCAACTTTGCAATGCAGAGGAAAGTCAGAAGCTGCATCTGAAGTTGCATTTAGATATGTTTACACACTGTTTAATGCAGGACATAAATGCATTTAAACTGCAATTACAAATGCATTTTTTTTTGTTGATATATTAAACATAAAACGTTGAATACTGATATTTGAAATTAAGATACACTCTAAAAAATGCTGGGTTGTTTCAACCCAACTTTGGGTCAAATATGGACTAACCCAACTTTAAACGGTTGATTCATTCAGGAACGAAACACTGTCATGTTGCTCAGAGACGCAAAATTATTTTTATTGGCGAAATAGTGCAAAAACAGGAAATATGGTGTCTAAAACGTAAATCCCTTAATTAACTTCTTGTTTTTTTAACCGTTGTAAAAAAATCAATATCACATTTGTAATCATGGTAATTGTTGGAGAAAAACGGCACTAGTGGGCGAAATAGTGCAAAAACAGGAAATATGGTGTCTAAAACTTAAATCCCTTAATTAACTTCTTGTTAATAAATAATCAATATCACATTTGTAATCATGGTAATTGTTGGAGAAAAACGGCACTATTCGTGTGAAATTGATTAACTATATGAAGTGGTATAAATATATACATTTTCTGCCCCATGTCTTGAATTTGTGATCATTCTAAAT